GGGGGGCGGGGAAGAGAGTTTAGTTGTACCTCACATAGAATTTGGTGCCATTCGGGTAGCTGTAGCCAATGTGGGACAAAATCATCACGATCACAAAGGCAGGTTAGAAACCACACACTGCCTGTCCTCATTTCGGATCAGCTCCAGGCAAAACCTGTCTTTCCTGGCCCCTGCGGTCCATCCCGAGCACATAACAACATGGCACTGGCTGGGCCAGCGAGGAGGGGAGGATGGGCAGCCTCTTGACTCCATCATCTCTGGAAGGATCTTAATCACATTTACCGTGTCTGACCTTTCACTTTCTAACAAACGAATATCTGTGAGATAATAGCAACCAGGTTAAGATAAATCTTTCCAGAAACTAGGAGAAATATGATCCAATTTGGACAGTACCCTCAATCATATGCTTTTAAATAGCAATCTTCCTCTTACAGTGCTTTGCTAGGAGCACATCCTTTCTGCTGCTATGGCTATGAAGCTTCTTTCATCTCCACTAACAAGGGGAAATGCAGACCTAATTCCTGGCTCCGCAAAAAACTTTCTGAAGCCTTAAACCACCTTTGCCCAATCCCCCATCTGCAAGACGGGTGAAAAACCCACTTGTTCCACAATATTCTCTGCTTTTCCTTCACGGAGTATAAGATTTCTGGGTCTGGTGCTCTATGTTCGTGCAATGTCTAGGGCAATCGAGGCCTCGATCTCAGCTGACATACACTCTCCTATAATTTAAGCTATGGAAAGACAAAAGGGGAAGATTTTTAACCATTCATTGCAAACCAAGGTTTCATGGATTACTATAACCGAGGAGGAATCATTTTGAAAGAATGCTGTAGTACTAACAGAGCCTACCACTTTTTGTGCATGGAAGGAAATAACTTGAAACAAGTATTGAGACCTAAAAATAAACCATAATATGTTCAGCTGGGCATTCACTAACCCCCAGCACAGCTGCCAGAGGATGAGTTGCCACCCATCCTTACAGCCATTTATCTCCCGCTGGGGAAGAGTGTAATGAAGGATGGAATTTGGCTGTGCACATAATCACCTGGATTAGCGATGGGATGGTGAGAGTGCAGGTAAAAGTCCTGTACACCCCGAGGACAGACAGTTCCTGCCCACGGTCTCTCCAGTGAGCAAGAACTGCGCGTCCTTAGGTTACTGCGTACAGGGACCTGCTTTTTAAAAGATGACAGATCCTGGTGTGGAATGAATATTGCATCTTTGAAGAAATACCCTGGTAACTGTTATCAAAAGGGGGAGTTATCTAGGAATAAGGGCACTAACAGCAAACCTTTAATCTATTCCCTCTGGCTTAGAAAGGGTTTGCCCTCCTCCACCTCCCAGTCCACCAGGCAACCTCCTCTCTCCCCAGATGTCACGCCTCCCCCATACAAATAGTCGTCCTGTTCGCTGCCCTGCCACAGGAGGAAGAAAATCTGTGCGCAGTTATGCAGACTGAAGGGGTTAAAGCCCCGAGAAGCCAGATCTCCATTTGTTTTTGTACTTACAATGAGTCCAAGGACTCCAGGAGGACCTGGGGCTCCCAATTCTCCCTAAAAGGAAAGACAAACCGACACGGTTACGGACACTTTGTAGACAAACAGAGGCTGAAAGGCGGCTCAGTGTTTCAAGAACTTGAGGAAAGGGAAAAGACCGTTCCTCCCCCTTCCGTCCCCATCCCCCCCCCAGCCCCTTCCCCAGCCAAAGTGATCGAGAGCTTCCATCTTAGCGAGCGTGCTTGTGAGCGCTGCCTCTCCAGACACAGGGCTGCTTGTTGTTTGGCAGTTATTTGCAGGGCTGACTTCCCCTCCCAGGAGCAGGCTGGATAAAAGAAGCATTTCACTATGCAGGCAGGGGAGCGGGTGGGAGCTGCCCCAGGTGAGGTGAAGATGAAGGCATGGGCAGGGAGAAGGACGTGGGCAGGGAGAAGGACATGGGCAGGGAGAAGGACATGGGCAGGGAGAAGCAGGCACGGGGGCAGCAAAGCTAAAGTGAGAAGGAGAGGAAAGCTGCTGCTTAGCATTGGGAAAGGTGAGGTTTTGGGGAGTGCTTTAGAAACTATAAAGCTCATGAGAAAAGGAAGACTTGGATGAAAATTAAATTGGGTAATTTGAGGAGAGGGTATGCCAGATTCTGGGGCTGGTTGATGTGCCCTGGAAGTGTGTTTGGCACATGGGGTGCTCTGGGGATGCTCCTCCTATATCTAAGAGCTGGTTTAAGGTGAGGAAACTGCAGTGTCCTCTGCACTCTGCCTCATCCATCCAGGCTCCCATGCAGAACACCAGCTACCTGTTTCTTTAATTTTCAGAAAAAGCCTTTGGGCTGCAGCTTGTCTGCAGGAAGGTGGCTCAGCACCTCTGTCCCTGAAGCAGGGAGCTCTCTGCAGGGAACACTCCACTTGCTTGAAGGACAAGTCACCTCTAATCACACCAAAGAGAGCAGGAGATGGACTGCAAGAGATTTATTTCATCCTGGGCTCTGCGCCCATTTGCCATGTCTCAGAGACCGCTCCCAAACAAGGCATTTTGGAAAGTGCCAGCTCCTCTTAGAGGCTTTTCAAGAACGGCTCAGAGCTCACCATTTGGAGGGACAGACTGCTCTCTGGGGTTGTGGAGCTGGTTTGAATTCTCAGCTTCACCACAAACCCCCTCCATGCCAGCTTCCCAAAGGCGCGCGGGTGCCAGGAGTGCTGGCAGGTGCCTGATGGCATTTCCAGGTGAAGTGCAGGAGAGAGGCTGCATCAGACCCGCACAAATCACCTACCCAGGTCCCCAAGTACTTCAGCAATCCCTGTGTGACGCTCAGCCTGTCCCCGTGTCTCCTTCGGCGGATCACCCGCTGCCTTGCCGCATCGACAGCGAGTTGCTCGTCAGGGCAAGGACCTGCTCTTACACACCTCCATCTCCAACAGGGCCTCTCAAAACAAGTGCATTGGAAATACTAAACTTCCCGTTGGCTCTGACAACTCTACCCCTGCTCTGGATCACGCTGGCTACTTTCTTTGACAGACCAGCTCAGTTTATGGTGCGCATCTGGTGGAGTCCCCCTTCAGTGCAATAAAGCTCCCCTTTTATGGAAAGATTTACCTAGTGAAAGAATGAAAGAGAAGGGGACGCAACGTGACTAAACGTGCTCAGCCTCCTTGGGTAAAGGGTTATGTGTGTTTATTTTATGGGAAGTGCAGTAAAGGACTATTGGGCAAGCACACACAAAAAGCGTTTCATAATCTTAACCAGCCTAAAATTGCTTTTTTATGGCCGGTTCCTTTCCTGCATACTTGGGACATCTGTGGAGCAATTGTTCCTCACGGGTGGGATTTGTGTGTCCTCAGAGCTACTGTAATAAGGTTGGCTTCAAGGTTTTAGTCGAGGCCTGGCATGAGTAGGCTCAGCAAGAAGAGGGGAATATCCCCAGGAACGCCGAACACAGGAGCTGCATGGTGGCCTGGGTTTCCCAGTAAGCTCTGCAGGCTCCGAGGGTGGCTGGGATGAAGACTGGGTGGATGGTCAGCTCTTGGTGCCACCAGCTGCACGAGGGATTGCCCAGATTTCTGAGTTATGTCATGTGGGTATTCCTCAAGAGAAAGGGTAAATGTGGAAACGCAGGGCCTCACATCTAATGCAAGAGATTTTACTCTTGGAAGAGGAGGGGTGGACTCCCCTGGGAGACGCGGAGACGATTAGTTCTTAATTTGAGCCATTCCCTGGCCTGGGAAATGGAGGATTTACAGGTGCTCTTTCCTGACTATCAGTAACGACAGGCTGGTCCCTGACCTGCGAGAAAATTCGGGCTCTATTCTCCTTTTTTCAGTGCATGAATCAGGCACTGGGACAAGAGACAAGGAGATGAATCAAGAGTCCTTTCCCATGTCTAATTCCTGTGATTAAGAGACTAATTAGAGTAGCTAAAGCGCTCCGGGAACGGGGACCTGGAATGCGATGGCTCAACAGTTCTCAGCAAGTTGGTAGGAGGGAAAAACGCCCCTGCGGTTGGAAGAGTCTTTGCTCTGTCTGGAGGGGACGGAAAGAAGATCAGAGACTGTCGGCTTCAGCCATCCCCACGCGACGGCAGAGGCGGCAGCAGCGTAAGTGCTCAGTGGATCAGAGGACGGAGCAGTTCAGGACCCGTGGCAGCCTGCCCGCCTGCCTACAATTTAGCTGCATACTCTACCTAGCAAACTCGGCATATTTGTGTGTTCCACAAACAGACTTTCTGGCATTTTTCTGCGTCTGTGACTCCAGTTGTGACCCTGTGAACCTCCCTTTAAGTCAGCCGAAACATTCTGTTTTCATTCTACAATCTCCAAGGCACATTAATATTTAAAAGCCGTTGATAAGATAAAAGAAGAACAATCCTTCTGGATGAATTAACGGAAGGGACATTTGCTTCTCTGCGATGCTCTGGGAACTGGCATTCAGCTAACATTGAGCACATCTTCTGAATGGGGCTTAGACAACTTGCAAATTTAACAGAAAACAAAACAAGCTATTTGGAAAAAAATGTCTTTTTGACCTCCAGGATTCCTGCTCTTCCTGGTGGGATGGCTGGAAATAGCAATACAATCTAGAAAGTCTTCTACTTTGGGACTACTGATTCCACTCTGACCCATGGCTTAAGTTGACTAAGGATGGGAAAGGTCTTGCAGAAGTATTCCTTGGGAATCTAATTCTTTCATTTCACTGCATTTGTGACTCTTGTGTTGAGCTCCCACAAAGGCTGGGGTGCAGCTGAGCTTGGCTTGCTGGTTAGAGACACTTGTGCAAATAACTTTTATGCTGCATAAATGGTGAATAGGAACTTGAAGACACTTGCAGAGTGGGTTACTTCACACAAATCATTGCATCAAATGCCAAGAGCAGCACTGTGATTATGTGTGAATAACCAAGACAGCAGGAAAGATGAATCAGTACTGTTCACATGCTAATTGAAGGAGAACCAACAAAGTCACTCAGAAAATAATTTAGAATAATACGTCTGAGAACTTTTTCAATCCACAAGGGCATGTTTTGTGAGTAGTGGAAAACACAGCACATACCCAACTGTTTGGTATTAAGTGCTATAAGAGCAGAGCAAAATAAATCTTATCTGCATCCAGCTGCTTAAATGGTCTCTGGGACCATCCTGACCCAATTCCCAGGAGACACATCCCATTCTTAGAAAGCCAGCAGGGTTCAGATGAACACCAGTGAGAGGCCAAGAACTCAGGAGCCTGGAGACTTCTCCCACTGCAGTGCCGGGGCTGGCTGAGGCATGGGGCAGGGCAGCAGAAGCCTGAGCTATGGTGTCCATCCCTCAGTGCTCCCAGACACTGGAGAATGGAATCTGGCACTTTTTGCATCAGTATGAACGTTCACTTCAGGAGAGGAAAGGCACTGAGCTTGGGGAACTTTAGAAGCTTACTTCTACAGGCCAGTGAGAGGCAAACCAAGCAGTACCAGCTTGCTAACCTGCATCAGAAAGTGAAATGTGGTGAAAGGAGAGGAACATGCCTCTTTCTCTGTGTACCTCAGACCTCTACACAACTGAGTACATGGCCTGCTCCTCTGGGGGTTCACGTGCACTCAAGTAGCCATCTGTGGTGCCTTATGATACGTCCCTCTATCTGTGGGCCCATGTCTCCCTGCTACGTTCACACAAAGCTTCATCCAGGGCACACTAGTCAACAAGATGATTCCTGTGGCTGTCACAGGTTTTGGATCAGGCCCTGGGGTATGGACAACACACTCCAATCACTGCCTGCTCATCAGGAGCAACATCCCTACCTTTTCTCTCTTGATTTTATTTCTAGTCACAACCTCAGGATGAGAAGGCACCTGTCAAGACCAAGGTGCAAGAAAGGCAACAGATGGAGACAGAAAGCAAATGCAACGGGGTGACCTGGCAGTTACAGGGTGTTGAGTCGAACATGGGAATTCACAGCATGCTTAAGCAGCGCAGGGACATACATTTGTTTCTCAGGAAGGACAAACCCCATAATGCTAGCAGCTGCCACCAAACTTAAAAGGTTCTTTCAGCACTAACTAGCATGATGCAGCACAGCGTGCTGTCTACTGCAACAGAAAGAGAGAAGAGGAAAAGCTATCAACTTACTGGGTTCCCATCGATGCCTGGAGGTCCTCGTTCCCCAAAATCACCAGGAAAACCCTGAGGACAGGAGGCAAACAATAGTATTAGTTATTGACACATCCTGGTGTACAGACATTCAGCTTAAAAACTGCTCCCCCTGCACTCAGTGCAGCACTTTGGAGGACAGCAGGTCACAAGGAAGTGTGGGCCATCCAGCCTGCTTGTCCTCATCCAAACCATTACTGCTCCACCAGCAGATCTGCTCAGTGAGAAGCTCTACAAGGCCAAGAGCTCTGACTCACTGCTCTCTCCTGGGGCCAATGAAGGGTAACCAGAAGTACCGTTTACAAGGCTCAGCCGCGAGTCGCACATTAATGGGAGCCTCGAGAGGAAGAAACAGTGAGGAGACAGGAAGGCTTTTCCCTTGGCCACGCTATGAAAAGCACTCATTGCTGAGGCTGCTGGACCTGACTTGTTCACACCTTGTCTTGCAGGCTCTGTCCAGCTCTCAATCAACCGTGCCTTTTCTTAGCGCCAGTTGTCAGCCCTGGGCATGTGTCATATGGCAGGAAAGGTTTTTGCAGCACCATGTAGAAAGACAACGTGAGCGTGCATAACAGAGAGAAGGGGCAGAAATCAGTGCTTCTGTCCTCCTTTTGGTTCACCCAAGTACTCCAATATGTCCAACAAGGAATAGGCAGCCCTGAAGATTATGTCTTGTAGTTTACACATGAAATGATAATCCCACACTGGGAAGATCAAACTCCGTATTTCAAGACACAATGCTTTCTGTCCTCTTTCAGGAAGAAATATCCTACCAATAGGATACTTCCTTAAAAGTCAATCCCAAATCCCTTATGTTCTGGAAGAATTCATAAACCTCACTGCAATGACTATCCTCAAAAATGGATTGTCAATCTGAATTATTTCATCCTGTCTACTAACACAATCATTTTCACAGTACCCCCTTCTCATAGGATAGCTGAATAGCGTAATGCCTGTTGGAGCCCATGCCGATGCTTAATGGAGCTGATCAAAGATGCCTAGTGAATTCACTCCAATGCATTCACGACCTTTTGGCTTGCCAGAGGAACAAACAGTTCCAAGCTCATTACGGTCCACACCCCAGAGCTGTGAAAGACCATGTTTACTACATGAAAAAGTCACCACAAAAGACTTCATCATCATCTCATTATATCTGATACAACTCTGGAAGACTTCAAATAATTATAGAAAAGGGAGTGGAGGTACTGAGCCAGAGCCAGAACGTGGTGGTGCGACACGTTCTCTCACGCGCTCTCAGACAGACCCTGTGCTCCCCTAAGCCCCCCAATTCCTATTACAAACAAATCATACAGCAGCTTGCTCTGCCCTGTCCTGTTGTGCTCTGTCTCCCTCAGAAAAAGCTCAGCAGACGGGTACGTAACCTCCGTGGTTAGTAAACTCTCTTCGTCACTACACCGACATTTTCAAGGAGGAAGCAGTTGAGTTTAAGATGGATTGGACTCAATTGTCGTTTGAGCTTGAACTTCATTCCACAAAGGACTGGCAGGGAGCAGGCTGCCAAGAGCTATCAGGGACCAGCAGCTTCAGGGCTACTCTGAACTTCAGCGGCAGTGGAAGGTGCGTTGGGGAGGCTGTGACACTGAGGTAAGAGGCTGCTGTGACTCTCCACTTCTTTTTCTTGCATGCCCCTTAAGATGGAGTGAGATAAAATATGACACAGCGTCCACCTCCCTTGAGCCAAAAGGGAGATCGTTGTCTGCTAGAGGAGCTCCCCATGGACAGAGCCTGCACAGAGTCTAACCCCAGGCTGACTCCTAGACTTGGTTAATTCAGCCAGGGCTAAAATCCTGCTTTGTTCTCCACACTATTCTGACTGTGGGCATCAGGATGGAAAACTGAGGAATATATTTGCATATCAAAGGCTTCCTAGCCAGACCATCTACCTTTGTGCTACAGTTCAGAGTGGGAACTTGAGAAGCAAAGCTCCAACCACCTCTGCTCCCTCTTCTGTTTATGGTGGAGCAGTCCTGGAGAGTAAGCAGCACTGGCTACACGAGGCTACACCGGAAGGTGCGCTCCAGAGACACAACAACAGGCTGCAACTGCGAGTGGGCATGTTACTTCTGACTCAAACTAGGAGTCACAATAAAACTGCCTTACATTCTTCTTTGGCTTCACCAGAGTCTGAGATAGAAAGGACAACACAGCCATGTTCTGGGCTAGCTAAGAGTTTAAGAGACAGGGATGGAGCAGAGAGGGAGAGGATGGCCCTTGCTGAGCCAGAAGGATGCTCTCTCTGCCTGCCTGCTCCCATTTACTACAAACACTGGTTACCTTGGAAAAGCAAAGCTGAGGGAAACAAATTGCGACAGCCAACAGCAGCACGCTACATGCAAACCCATCAGCAACACTGAAAAGTGAAATGATCACAGCGGACACAACAGGAAAACTATACTGGAAAGGTCTGCAGTCAAAGATGTCATCCAAGATCTCCCTTCATCTGAGGGTTTATAACTCCTGGTCAACCCAACTAGATAAAAAGATACTTGGTCAAATCTAGGGTGCGAGATGGGAGACCTATTTAAGACAACCAAAATTTTACCACTGACTTCAGAGTCAGCATTTCACCTCTTCTGTACCTATTCCCTGCAGCATACAGTACGCGCTCCTGAACGGACACAAGCTACCGCTTGCTTGGATTTGATACTTCTGTTTTATGGGCATCACTGCAAATGGGAAAGTTGTCTGCCTTTTTCCAGCTGGGCACTACATCCCTCAAGCCTGTGCACATGCCAAGAAGCTGTGGTAAGCAACCACTGGAAACAGCCTTCTGCCACCTAGAGACAAAGATGTCAAATATAACAAGAAGGTGGGGGGGGCTACAATTTTCTTTAATGAAAAAAAGGGGAAAAATAACTCTGCTACACGCTGAATCAATAAGATCAGAATAGAGATGTGTAGGG